TGTAGCCAGTATCCATGTTTGGTGGGTCCTTCGTACCGACAAATCGACTGACGGCAAAACGTCAGTCTGTGAATCTAAGAACAACACTGGCGGGTTAACCGCGGGTTAACCGCCGATTTTCTTCAAAATTTATATTTCCCAATCGATCTCGCTGATGTCACGGTCCCGGCACATTTTAATTTTGGAGGGTACTTAACATGAAGCCCCGGTGAAATTTTCACAATTTTCAAAGAAGTCTCTCCATCGTTTTTTTATTAAATTTTGTTGTTGGATAGTGTGAAGGACGTTGAAGTGAATAGTACATGTCTCATGTTCGTTGAAAACCCTTATGTTTGGAAAACTGAAAAAGTTGAAAACTTTTAAAGATTTTTTTAAACAAAAATATTAAAAATAGAGATTTTTTCCCTTAATGAAATCTGTTCCATAAAGATAGAATTTGAAAAAAGGTAATGAACACTTTTCCGAAAATTTGCATACTATTCGTTGAATTTTGCGTGAAAATACGCGCGAGAAAGCAGTGTACTGTTTTTTTTGAACCTCTAGTTTCCGTAGAAAAATAGCCGATTTCCGCCGTATCATTACTTTTTCTTTATCACTTAAGTTGTAGAGAGAGGAAGAAAAAGGGAGTACTGTGGAGGGGAAATATTAAACGAAGTAAAACTGTTTATATGAGTGAACAGGCAATACAAGTGATTTTTCTTCGTCTCCTCCATAGTAACCCCGCGGAGACTGGAATTTATTTTCTATTGCTTGGACACATACAAGTGATCGAACCAAGGACTGAGCATTCGCTGAGGAGCTTCTTCGCAGGATTTTGTCTCTTTCAGAGTTATTTCACAGGGCCGCCATGCTTTCAATTCACCTCCTCGTATTGCCTTTTACGTCCATTTCGCGGTTTGGGTGTTGTTTACTTTGCAGATGTTGGAGAATTTCCAACAGAGTCTTGCGCGGAACTAATCAACGCGCGAAGGGCGTCTTGGGACACATCCACACGTGCGACTTTGCTACGCTCTCCCATATCCACTTGCAGGAGTCATCCCCAGCCAGGTATCACCCCCCAGCGGGGCACCGCCCCCACCGGAACAAGCTCTACGCTCTTTTCTTTTGTTGACGCAAGACTGGTCTCCCGGCATGTGTGGTAGTGTGAAGGGTGAGGAAAGGACAAGGAATAGGAAGGAAGGATCGCGCGCGGTCCGTGACCCGTTGGTGAGGGTACTGCTCCGGCATTCACCTGATGTTGGCCACAGAAACCACATAAATCTACCGATCAGAGCAGCCGGCCCCTAGTATTCTCCACACATCGGCTGAATCCGATCTATCTGTCTAGTTAGTATCGATAATCCTGCCCGCACCGTTGCGACGTAGGGCCTCCCGGTCAGAGGCACTGCACTGACAGTGACAGTTGTTGCCAAGCCACTTTCAAGAGTTGTATTGTCACGGTGCTTTTTTTCTTCTTCTGGGAATACACCCTTCTTTTGTTGAAGCGGGGACGGCACGTGGCCTTGGTCTTTCTTTGATGGGGGCGGGGTAGCTCAAGGTTTACGGTGATGGAGGGATGGGTTCGCTCAAGGTTTACGGTGGAAAGTCCCTTTGCGGACCTTCCGGTGCGTCGTAGAGTGCTTGGAGGCGCGCCTAATTGCGAGGCGGGTGGTTAAGCACGTATACCGCCCTCCGCTTCAGGGGGCTACGGCGTGGGGCATGCGTGATTCACAAAACATAATAAACAAACTACCTTCACGTATTTGCACGCAAGACAAAATCCTAAATATTATCTTAGCACATAATATTTCATTTTAAATATTATGTGCTCTCTCGCCAGCATATCTCGTCTCTGAACCTTTCTGACAGACTGCCAAAATGCCTGAAGTTGAACATTCCGTTTCGTTACGTGTATCACCAAACACGAAACAGGGAGTATGCATACGAAATATAACATAAACATTTCTTGAGGGGGAGCAAATACTGACATCTCATTGGACGAGAGGTTTGGTCCGAGACGTGCTTGGCGGTAGGGACGGCCTTTTCCAAGAAACTGTGCCGTTGTTCTCATCTCTAACGCTGCGGAATGTGCTCGAAATGAACTGACGTTAGGACTTTCTGAGAATTTTGGCTAATTGGCTCCGGCGAGCAAGCAACATTAAAGTTTGCACGTGAATGCTTAGGAATGTCTCGTTCAAATGACAACAAAGGGGAAAAAGAAGAGATATTACTTGAGAAGCATCATGCCCTATGCCGGTTTTGCTTTACCTCGTCGCGAACAAGGAAGCATCAAGAAGAAGCCCGAAAGCACAGGAAAAGTGAAATTGTTAATAATAAAATGCACATTCAGTTATTCCCATCGCTTGTCACATAATAAAAATAGATGTTAATGGTGGAAAACACTATTCAAGAAAATACCTCGTGGCGCTACAAATTGACACAGACTTTCTCACATGAGTTAGTTCCCCTTTAAATCATGACGTTTTGCCGCGCCCCCTTCCCATCTGCATAAAGGACTCACGAGGATCCACCGTGGTAACTACTGCTCTCCCGGGAAAAATCAATCAAATGGATCTCAAGCAGGTCAATCATGTGGAGGATATTGGAAAAATTTCTCAAAAAAGATCTTGAAGCATGTCGACCAAGTAGAGGACCTCGAGTAAATTAATAAAATAGAGAATCTCAAAGAATTTCAAAGAAGAGAAGAGAATTTCAAAGAAGTCAATCAAATAGAGAATCTCAAGAAAATCGATCTCTAGCAGGTGGCTCAAATGGACGATCTCAAAAATGCCGAGTTCAAGAGGAGGATCTCAAAGTCAAGGCTAAGTGGAAAATGTCGAGAAAGTCGAGATAAAGATAATCATTTGTAGACGATGGTGGTCAAAAAAGGATCTGAAGAGAGTCGAGATAAAAAAGAATCATAAGAAATCAAGAGGAAATGGAAGATCTAAAGAAAGTCTAGAACAAGTGGAGAATTTTAAGGAAGTCGGGATGGAACGGAAGATCACACACAATTCAATTCCGTGGAGTATCTGAAACAAATCGATCAAGTGGAGGATCTGAAGTAACTCTAAGGAATGCAGGATCTGAGGCAAAGTAGATCGAATAGAGGTTCCGACAATTTGATCAAGAAGAGAATCTGAATCACGTGAATTAAATAGATCTTATACAATCGATCAACTGAGAGATCTGACGGAAGTCAATCAAGTATAGGATTGTCACGCAAGTGGATCATGTTCTCGATCTCCATCCAGTGACAATATTATACTGGTATATTTACATAATACCAATCACAATAATCAACGTATCCACGTTATATAAATGCTTTTGCTGTTATATCCGATGGAAATGAGGAAATTCTTCCAAAATATAGTTTGCGAATATTATATATTAAATAAAATCGCGGCATTGTATTTAAGATAATTTGGCCTATTCAATTTCAATCCAAGAAAATTTATTTTGAAGGTGTTTTCAATTGCGCACGCTTTAATCGACACGAATATGAAAGAAATCAATTGAAATCGTTCGGAGGAGGAACTCTTAGCCTTTCCCTTTCTGGAGTGGTAATGGTTCATATACCATAGCGCTCCTGCGGCCAGAACTGGAAACTTTTGTAACCCTGAAACTATACACTTATTTTTTGTTACCTAAACTACACGCTGGGTTTTCAGGGACCCCAAAGGTTTATAATGTCACAAAAGATTAAGAAAATATTGCGTAATTCAAAAGTGTATTATCGTGATTCATTTTCATTTAA